ATGCACTGCAGAAAAAGCTTGGCAAAAAAATCATCTTCAAAGTGGACTGGCTCAGTTGGTAGTTCTTCTTCTTCCTTTCTTCCTTCCTGGAATGCAGATAAGAAGGCTGGAGCTCCAGCAGCCATCTGAACCATAAAATAACCTTGAGTGGGTGGAGAGGTTCAAGAAGTGAAACTGGGTTCCTGAGGATATCATGGGCATATCATATTAATCCTGAACTTGGTTTTTTTATTAGCAGCTAACTACAACTCCTAACTGACATATTACCAAGAAATTTAAGTAAACTAACCCAAGCATACGGATATGGAAGTCAAGTCAGCAAAGATCGGTTTTGACATCTTTAGTTTGAAAGACTTAGCATTCTAGATTTGAAGAGAACATGTGACTTAAGCATGACCTTGTGAAGTGGAATGAATTTAACAGGGGCAAGAAATTTGACAATGGGAATTTGACAATGACAGTAAGAACTGAAAAGTAAACAAGGAAGAGATTAAAAGTACCTATATAATTTGATCAGACTTAGAGGACAGATCAATTGGACTACTAGATCAAGTGTTACTAACATGAGTTCATGTTAAAAGGAAAAAAAAAGACAGCATAAACATAATGAATTAAGCAATGCTGTCCACTAGAAGCTGAAGAATGATAATACTGCTCAACTACTGGGGTAAAAAAAATAACTTTTTTTTCTGGATTTTTATAAGAAAGTACCTTTCCACATGCGTATTGCAATTCCTCTAGCTACATCCAATAAAATCACTCTGCCAAAATCATCTGTTACTGCTGCCAGTGTGTTACATGGAGACAGACATATACTTTCACCATGGCGTCTAGAATCTGGAAGTCCAAATCTGATATTTAAAAGAAAATAAAAAGCTCAAATCAAATTCCAATCTCGAAAAAACTGACAGAATCATGAAATGCATTAACAAAATAGACCAAATTTATTTTTAATAAAAAATTGTAAGCCCTGCATGGATTGCTGTTTATTAACTAATCACACCAGACACTTTGCAACACAAAATGCGTAAGAAGTTTCTTCCATTATAAAATAAAAATACCTAAATTTTATTTCAAAGATTTTCTATATAGATATCCATAATCTTTTATTTTTAGACAATATCAAGTATAACTATCTTTTCTTGATTAATTGTCATGTCATAGGAAATAGTGCCCTCACAACCAATTAAATTTTGGAATACTCTGCTGCCACACAGGCATCTTTTGTCTAAGTTCGATTTTCTAATCTCTTCTTTTTGCTAGATATCATATTCTTCTGACACCAATGTATCTGCCTAAAGAACTCCCCCTCTTCTAAATAATTTTCTCTCAACTGTTCTTGGTCTATAACCAATCTTACTAGAACTGTAAGATAAAAGTAGAGGTACGGCAAAACAAGCAGGTGTGCTCGCTTAGAGCAAGTCCCTGAGACAAAGTGCCCTGATGTTATTACATCTATTTGGAGGCACAGAGCCATCTGGACTACTTCTTGATTCTTCGGTGAATTTAGAAAATGTGAGGTGTTCTAATATTTTAAAAAGATGAAAAAGTCTTAGAGGATAATCTTCAATAAAATTTAATAGATCTCTTTGACAAACACCTACAATGGGGAGAGAACTGTTCATGATAGTATTCATGATAGTATTCTCTATTAGGTAATAAAAATAATTTAAAAACAAAATCAAGCAAGAATCATTGCCTTCTTGCCCCAAAGCCTGACAAATACACTATCCTATAGCACTACTGAAGTAAACAAAAAAGCACAACACTGCATTCTAAAGACTGCTTGAAGGCATGGGAATCCTTGTTTTTATGTTTTTTAAAGAAATCACTAAGCATTTTTAAAGTTTATATAGCTTACTGACAAACGAAACTAAAAAATCAGCTGTCACAAAACTAATTTTCTTGCAACCTAAGCTAAAGTTATAGGTGTTTGTTAAAAAAAAAAAAAAAAAAAAAAAAGCACACTCAGCACATACATCTTGAGTACCCACTATAGGACAGGAAGATAGCTGTGACCAAACTGGGGAAGACTCACTCTCCTCATGGACTTTATATTGTGATAGAAGCTCCTAAACCTCATAAGATCAACAGTCAACTAAGCACACTGAAAGACTATAAATTTAACAGTACGTTTTTTAAAATATGAAAATCTGAGAAGAACACTACAGACTTGCCTTACAGCTAATGGGGTGGCTGGCTCCACCTTTGGTTTTTGCTTCTGCACTGCTTCCTCTTCGTGCTTGCTCTTCCAACCAAGCCAACCACTGAACAGAAAGAAAATTTAGAATAAAACCAATGCTTTCAGCATTTTACTGTGCAAATTACCAACACAGATGTTAAAACCGGGCAAGATACAGATAATTTTACAGGGAACTGTGGTAGGATTACCTGGCAGCATTAAATAAAGCAGAAGTGAGTTTACTTGCAACCGCCAGTGCCACATGAGACAGCAATGGTTGTGTGCTCCCCTGGAACACAGGACACGTGAAAGAGAAAACTGAATGGCTGACAAAGACATAAAACATACTGTCTAAACAGGGCTTACTTTTAAAAGTTTTGAAGAGCTGTAAAGTCTGAACTAGTAAAAATATTCAGCATCTTTCAGACCATACAATAAAATCTTTTTTAGGAGACAGAGATACAATCAAACATTTTAACTCTACAGTAGGAAATAAAACCACTAGTAAGCTATTTTGTCTTCAGGATTTCCCTCCTTTAATTGTAATTTAATTGAAAAAGTTTAAACAAGGATGTTAAGATGGCGTTATTCTGTCAAAGCCATGGACTTCCTATCTACACACAACTGGCTCTTGCCCCTCTTTTTTTAATATGCCTTTTTATTAAAGTAAAGAGAAAGCTTAGACAATTCTGAGAAGGTAGGCTTTTTAAGCAAGAAATAAAAGACAAGCAAGTCTAGCACCTAACTGTCCCCTATTTTAGGAGCCAATTTCCACCACTTACATCAACTATACTTGGCCACTTTACAATTCCTGATTACTCAAATCCCTGGTGGGCCGACATTCATAACCCTGAGTGGCCGATTATCACATCAATATTTAAAGACAAATCAACTATCCAAGAACCAGGGGCATCAGAAACAGAAGAATCTATTTTATACTGACTTTAGTACTTTCTCAGTTCACCTAAAAAATTTAGAAGGAAGTCAGCAGAGACTAATTTTAGCTTCAGTTGAAACATAGAAAAACGTAAACTACTTAATCTTTCTAAAGCTAACTTGTAATATCCAATTTGCAGACAAGTTGAGAAACCAAGAGAGGTCTTACTCATGATCAGTGATGAAACTCTTACCTCTAAAGCATAGAAGAAGCCAGTAAATGGATTGGACCCAACGGTGATGTACTGAGACATGGCAGGTAGACTGTTTTTAATTGCTGCATTAAATCCACCTATGTTGGAGGCAGTCTTCATTTGGTCAAAAGGGGAGAGAGTCATAATACCTGTTTTAAAACAACAGCAGCAACAACACGTGAACTGAACGCACTGAAATGGCATTGTCATTTTAGGTCATTAAATTTTTATATCAATTCCATTCAAAGATGCAAACTGCTTAGTTTAACAAATAAAAGTCACTTTTAAAATCTACAAAATCAATGTCATAAAATATCCATAAGATATTAAAGTGCTATCTATTTTTCTAAGCCATAAACTACAAAACAAAATTTAAATATTAATTTTTTAATGATACAAAACTCAAACAGTACAAAAAGTATACCGTCTGTAGATCTCCAGGTATTAATCGGTTCTTAGAGGCAACAACTGAAACAAGCTCTAATGCTGCTCTCCAGAGATGTTTTACATACATAAATGACAACATACCAAGTAAGCAGATGTGTGCCTTATTTTTTTTTATTTAATAAAATATCAAAGAAACATGCCTCATTCTTCTCAATCACTCAGAATATTCTACTATATGACCATACCATAATTGATTTGACCTACTGATGGATATTTAGGTTGTTTCCCATCTTTTGTCACTACAAATGATACTGCAATATATATCTTTGATATGTCTCTGCACACCTACATGTCTGTGTGGAAAACTCTTATAGACAGAAATGTGGGCTCAAAGGGGATCACATTTTTAAAAACTTTATCAAATACTGTTATACTGGATTCCATAACAGTGTTGCTAATTTACCAAATTTTGGTTTCCACCAAAAAGGTCAGAGAGCATCTGTGCTCCCATACCCCTATTAACACAGCAAACACAAACACTTTCAAACGTTAACTTTGTAATCCAGAAATCCCCAACCTTTTCTAAGGGAGAGTTAACTTTTCATTTCCCCAAAACTCTAAGAGCAAAGCAGACACAGATCACATGCCTGTGTGGAGCAGCAGAGGAAAAACCAAGGTCATGTAAACTCACCAGGGAGGGTGGTAGGGAGAAAAAGACAGGGGGAAATAAGCTTAGAGATCTAGGGAGTAAAGATGTACTGCTAAGATTCCAACCTATGTGGACTCAGGCACACATACCGTACCCGAGTACTCATCTGGGATGTGAAGATACCCAGTTGGGAAGTGCTAAACTCAAATACACCATAGAATGGAACATGAGTTATTCTAATTTCCATATACAGGTGTTGCCTCTACTTTGCCTGCAAATGGTCAAAAAACACATTGTACCTGAAGAAGAGTCCTGGGAAAGGAAATACTGTCAAGGAATTCATGAGCAAACTATTAGCTGGATTCAGGAATTAAAGTGATCAAGTAACTTGTAGAAGTTGGACTATTCTGAAAGATCAGAGTGCCTGGCTCACGCTCATAAATGAATTCATGATTCAACATAAAAAAATATTTTCACTACATGATAAAAATCTGTATAAGTTTGGTCTGAGTCTACCAGAATGAAATCAAAGGGTGAATTGTGTGGCACATAAACTGAAATTTAAGTTTTATTTATTTTTTTTGGCAGGTGAAACAATTTTATTTTACAGTTGTCTTTAAAACCACAAAGACACTATGTTCTTCATATAAAAACATTATACTATAAATTATACTTTCTAGAAAATGATTCCGTCATTTCAAAGAAATGCACACATTATATGGTTCAGACAAGTTATTTGGGAAAAACACATCTGGACCGATTCCTAAAACATACCAGAAGACCACGCTGCATCTTTTGGTTCAAAGTATAGATTACTGTCATCAGTAAGGGCTCCTGCATTCTTACATATTTGATAATACACATATAGACTGGTTTGTGACTTAATGCTCCATTGGTTCATCAGCCTTTTCTGCAGGTTCATCAGCAGGTTGAGCAGGCTGTGCCTTTCTCTGTGGTCTTTCTTCAAGACCTTCCAGGAACGGAGATACATCATCATCATCATAAACCGTAAACTCCAAGTCTTTACCAACAATTCCAATGGAAACATTCTTTGTAGTTAGGTCCTGTTCTGCAGGAAGTGTCTCTCGTAAGGCACGCAGACCATGTTTAACCAGTTCATTCAAATTGCACTCCATAAACCCAGACATATGTCTCTCCAAGTAAGTACGAGCTGATTGAGAACGGGCTCCAATGGACATGGCTCTACAGTCAAAATGGTTGGCAGATGGACAGGTTTGGAAAATGTGAGGGCCCATATCATCATAACCAGCAATAAGCAGTCCAACACCATATGGTCTCCGGCCATACCGTTGTGTTGGTATCTGGGTCTTGCTTCCAATTAGAGATACAAGACGAGACACAGCAAGAGGTCTGTCAAATACAAATCTGGAATCCAAACACTCCTGGTGCATAAAATTACATAACAGTCTAGCATCAGCAGTAAGTCCCGCAATTGAGATACCAATATGGTTATCAACATGAAGAATTTTCTTCTGATGAGCTGCAAGCCCTGACTGTGCTCTCTTCAATGCAACCAACACTGCATGGGTTTTTGATTTCAGACCAACTGTGGCTGAACCTTGTTTGACAGCTTCCATTGCATATTCAATTTGATGAATCCTGCCCTGAGGGCTCCAAACAGTGATGTCACTGTCATACTGGTTGCAAAACATGGTTCCGGCGCGGGTCCCGCTTGCGAAATTTAAGTTTTAAAATAACTTCCTCATGTTCCCACACACTACAGGTGGGAGTATAAATTGCTTTAAGCTACCCAGAGGACAATTTCCTGATACATATCAAAAATTTTAAGTGAGTTTAGTCTAATTTATTCTGAAGAGGTGATGGCTGATCAGTTCTTTCCATCCTCACCATTACAATCTTCCCCTTCCCACAATTCCAGTCATCTACTTTCAGTGCCAGGCACACCTAGATCCTGTTGTCAACTGTACAGCCTCTGAAACCTTGATTTCAAGCATAGCACCTTTTGACAACCAACTCTTGGCTTTCCATCCTACTTAGTAAGCACTATAATAATTTCACCATATTATCAAGAGTTTCAATTCACTAACTCTACTATTTTTTCACTACTGAGTAACTTCTGCATTCATTCCCCTTATCTGGCTTAGATTTGTGTTGCATCATAATCATTCTCTTGCAGACACCTACAACTGCTCTGTGTGTCTCTCTCTCACACACTCAACTGGTGAAATCCTAATCTGGATGATCTAAACTTTCTGCATCCTCCACTGTTTACAGCAGAACAGTTGACCATTGCCAGAAAAAAACAATACACCTGGGTTTCAAAGTAAGGCTCACAGACAAATGGACATCCAAGACCAGCCCTAAATCCTACTGTCCTCCTCGACCCTTACCCCGACGCCTCCATGCCACTCATTTCCCACGGTCTACATCTTACTGACGACAACCCTGTGGTATAGAGAGCTGTCCTGCTGTCTATACTGCGGCATAAGGGGTGGAATCTAGAGGACCTGAGTAACCAATCTCAGCATTATATTTCATTGATTTAAGGTAAATGAAGATACAGTTTATTGACAGCCCCTCTTTCTCCCTTCATATTTTTCCAATATACACATATTTCAATTTTTTATTAAATTCGCATTTACTGTTTTCATTAAGAATGATGTAAATATTACTTACTGCTGAGACATGCTGCCTACTGTAATAACATTTCCTTAGATGTGAGTTTTTTTTTGTATATCCTGAACATCTGAGGCCTTTCCACACTTTGAAACACCTTAATATAAATATTAATATAATTTATATAAATTATAATTTATAGTTAAAAATACATATTAAAATATAGTATTTATAAATTCTAATTATAAATATAATTAAACATTAAACCACTATTAAAATTAAGAAATATTACCATTATTATAATATGAATACTAATTTAAATTTTAAATAAATTTCCATAAAGTCAAACTCATTGGATAATTTTCTAGGTCTATTATAGTGGCTCCAGAAGACATCTTTGACAAAATAATATTTGAGCAGAGGCTTGAATGAAGTGAGAAAGCCATGTGGCTAGCTGGGTAAAATTTTCCAGGCAGAAGGAGCAACAATTACAAATGTTCTCAAGTGGAAGAATGCTTGATGTGTCTAAGGGAAAACAAAGAGTTAACATGGTGGAACACATGGAGGGGATACTAAAGAAGATAAAGGTAAAATATGTACTATAAAGCAGGCAATGTCAAGCCTGGTATGCCTCTGTAAAACCTTTGGATTTTATCAGGAATAAGACAGGAAGGCGTTATAAATAATATTTTGTGCAGAAGAGTGACAAAAACATGACTTACATTTCAAAAAGAATATTAGCTACTAACTGGTGAACAGATTTTTGGGAGGGAAGAAAGGAAGCAGAAAGACCAGTTAGAATGTTTTTTTCCTCAACAGTTCAGACAAGACACAATGGTAGCTAAGACCACAGCACTAACAATGATGGAGATGAGCAGTGGCCACATAGTGTCTACTGCGCAGAAAGAGACAAATGGGAGTTTGGATGAAAAACATGAGAAAAAGAGAGGTCAAGGATGACTCAGAGTCTTTTGGTGTGAGCAAAAGAAGAGATGATACGGAAGAAAAAAGGAGGAACAAATTTGGGGGAGGAAATGGAGAATTCTTTTTGGATATGTTAAGTTTAGATAGCAAGGTGGACAAATTTCGTAGGAGCTAGAAAAGGAGCATGAATTTTAAGGAAGAGGTGAAGACTGGATATAAAAATGGAGATGCTGTGATTCAGTTTCCTGTTCTTGTGTTTCTAATTTTTGAAAGTAGGGGTGGAAATATTTCTCCTTTGACCTACTCCAATCTAGCCTTCATCCTTACTGGTATCAAAAATTTTAAGTGTGTTTAGTCTAATTTATTCTGGTCCACCTAAAGTGCTCATATCAGATTCAGTGCAGTGCTCCGTGTTGTCAAATTCAAAGGACCTTCTCCTTTTCCTGAATTCTATAAAGCATTCCAAATTTTCATCAATAATATAGACTACTTCTCTAAACTTCAAACACATATGTCTGCCTACTTGACACCTCCATTTGAATGTGTAATTGTGTCACAAGTTAACCTGTTAAAAAAACATAACTCTGATCTGTCCCTCTCAAGCCTCTTCCTTCTCCTTATTCTTATTTTTGTAAAGTCTGATCATGTACTCATTTGCTTAGATTTAAAAACTAAGAAATCCTTAAAATAAAAAAAACAAGAAATCCTTGAATCTTTCTTTTCTGTCATTTCTCATAACCATCCTTTTCCAATTGCAAAATGTATCTTAATTCTGTCTACCCTCCTCCTACTCTACTGGCTTCCACCATAGGCAAAGTTGTAATTCTCCCCTAGTACAACAAGCTCCTTGTCTCCCTGCCTTTACTAAAAAGTAAAAAGTAAAATAAAAATTTTACCAGCCTCTCTCTAAGCAGTAGGTCAGCAGGATAATTTTAAATATCCCATACCTAGACTCATCAATGACATCCACTATATTTAAAATAGAATCCAAACTCCTTGCCTTACATGATCTGACCCCAGTCTACATCTCTAACCTTGTTCCACTGACCCTTACTCTTTACAATCAAGTCATATGGACCTTCTTCCTGTTTCTCTGGACTTTGAGGCCCCACAGGCCTTTGTCTTTGCTGTTTCCCCTGACCAGAATGCTCTTCCTACACCTCTTCAAATAGCTGGCTCCTTCCCACCCATCACATGTTACTTCCCTGGAGAAACCTTTCCTCACCAGTCTACCTGATGTGCCCTCTCTCTTTACTCTCCATCAAAACCCTCTGCTTATTTTCTTTGTGACACATACCAACATTTGGATATTACCAAATTATTCATCTGGTTTAATTATTTATTGTGTGTCTCCCTATCACCAGAATGTAAGCTCCATCAGGGCAGGGTCCTGTCTGCCTTTTATTTCTAGCTCCAATATTAATTAGCACCAAAGACATAATAAGTATTCACTGCTTTGTTGAATGAATTCATTAAAACTTTACATAAAGATGTACATGCATAATAAAGTCCATTGTATCTTTTTTAAAAAAAATCATTTTGTAGGCTGGGAGATAAATGAATAGAATAATATTTTTTATCCAATCATTTTTCCTAGCCCATTTCAATGTTCCAAAGTTCAATTAACAGAACAGGGAAGCTACCCTGAACTGAACTCAACACTTTGGAATTTTGTGCAAAAAAAGTAAAGATGAACTGTCTACCAGTAAAGCGCTTACTGTAGAGTATTCCACAGGAGAACTATGCAACAATAAACAAAGAGATCTGGGTATCAGGTATGTTCTGTCCAACCCTGCAGATTCATACTCTTTCCTTTTCTCCCCACCCACTCCCAGGGGCCAGTGTTGATTATGTTGACCTCCACTTGGATTCCGACAATGGGAAGCCTCATCAGAAGATCAAAGACAGAAGGTAAATTGAAGGCAGGATAACTATTTTCTGTGACATTTGAGCAAAAGCGAAGCTGCTCTTAAGATGCTGATTCTACTCATCATCTCCAAGTTCTGGAACCACACCAGGCCCTCACCTCGTCTGGCAAGGAGTGGTTAACAGTGGGCTGCTGAGAAGCTCTGACATGCTGTACTATCCTTTATGGTTCTCCTACACCACATCTTTCTAAATAGTTTCTCTATAAATAAAATGTGTTTCAATTGTCCTATTTCAAGGGTGCCATCTGTCTTCTATTAGGATCCTGATAAAAATGTGTATTTAGCAAAACTGATTGAAAGGCTCTTTCTGATTAATTAGAAAAGGGCTATAATATAGCTGGTATGATATTATCCTATTTGTGAAAACCCATTACCATATAACCATATCTATATTATACATGCATTTCACACACAAGTCTGTAAGATGTTTACCAAATACCAAAATGCCAATGGTATTTCTGAATGGTAGGGTTAAGGGGATAGTTTTTCTTTTTTCTCTTTATATATTTATGTGTATTTGAATTTTTTTAACAAGCATATACTGATAAACAGAAAAAACAATTTTTAAAAAATATTTCCTTCTCTACCCCCCATTTCTACTACCTTAATTCAGAAACTGATTGCTTCTTACCAAGATAATTACAACTTCCTTACTGTGCCTAGTTTCTAGTCTTGACCTCTACAGTATAACCTCTAAAAAACTTCCACGAAAGTGATTTTTCTAACAGGCTAAGTGATAATACCATCCTCTTGCTCAGAATTCTTCAGTGGCTCTTCTTCAATGTTGCTAGAAGAAAAATCTAAATTCCTCCACATAGTATATAGGCCCTTCAAACTCTGATTCCTATTTACATGTGTGCTAGCTGGTTGTCCTTAGTACCCATTAGTTTTACAGCAGGTGATGCACTTCCACCCCTAAGCCCACATACATGTTGGCTCAAATGCCACCTCTGTGCTCGTTCTCCTGATCAAGTTCTTTTTTTTTTTAACCAGTCAACTTTTATTGGATATTAATTGTGAATTAAGCAATGGAAGGATTCAAGGATGCCAGGCAAAAGTCATGGTCAGGAATGCCAAATGTGCCTCCACACTGGGCCCTCTTCAGTGGTACCTATGTAGCCGTTCATGTTTGAGCTCCTTGTAAGAATGACAGTAGCTGAAAAGCACATAAGCAGCCAGCACCATAGAAATCCCAGCAACGCCCCCTTTCTTCACATTGATATATTTGTTGTAATACCGGTAGTAACCTCTTTGAAATGCTCCAGCAATGCCCTTAGGGGTGAAATCCCGCATCAGTATCCAGCCTGGCAGCTCTCCTAGTTTCACCTCCATGAGCTTCTTTTCCTTCACTGGTACGGGCGACGCCATCTTGGAGTCCTGGGTGTCCGCTCTGCCTCCTGATCAAGTTCTACTCTTTCTTCCGATTTCAGACTGAAGTCAGACTCCTGGTTCCCTACATCGCTCAGTGCTAGGGGCTTCTCCTCTGCTCTCACTCCAGCTAGTCCACTTGTTGACTACTGCTCTAGTACTGCAATTATTTTCACATATGTCTTCCAACTAAACTCGCGCTTCCTTGATGAGACCATGTCTTTTCCTTTCTACGTTCCCAATCCCCAACAGAGTGAGTCTTCAAAGATGCTTACAAGGAGAGATACATTTTTATCTATATTCTGCTGGTCTAAAAGTTACATTTTTTTTAAAGATTTTATTTATTTGACAGAGAGAGAGAGCATACAAGCAGGGAAAGCACAGAAAGAGGGAGAAGCAGGCTCCCCACTAAGCAGGGTGCCTGATGTGGGGTTCTATCCCAGGACCCCAGGATCATGACCTGAGCAGAAGGCAGAAGCTTAACTGACTGAGCCACCCAGGCATCCTAAAAGGTTATATTTTTAGAAGATTGAGCTATATGGTAATTAATTACATGGATTAAACATATCTGCAAAAAAAAATTAAGTCAAATAATGAAAGACTTAAAACTGTTCAATATTGCTGCTGAAGACATAATTATTAAAACTGTTACCACTTCTTAAACACATACACCTATGATAATCCGTAAGTCTGGAGTAACTTCCAAGTATCTCACTACAAGTGATGCATTTTTCTTTTCACATAAGAATAAATGTATATTTCTAACAAATGAGACACATTGATTAAAAAGTAGAAGTAGTAAATTCCATAAAAATGTGAACTAGTAATGCTTACCTATGCT